AGTCTATAACCAGATGGGTAGTGTCTGCTATACAATTCTCCTACAGAGTGTCTGGACAAACCTGCCCACTCATAGTTTGGGCACATTCAGCACAAATGCAGGGTTCATCTGCTGCCTTTCATAATAATCTTCCGCTGCTGGACATCTGGAAAGCAGCTACTTGGGCTTCCAGAGACATCTTCGCTCACCACTATGCCCTTGACCTGCAATCGAGGAAAGATGCAGAAGTTGGAATTCCCTTTTTCAGTGAGAGCCTCACCCCGCCTCCTTAGGTAACAACTCTGTCCCAATGTGAGGCTGCACAGCGAGATGAAAACATAGTTGCACTTACCTGTAACTGTTGTTTATCAACATCTTCTGTGCAGACACACATTCCCTCCCTCCTACCCTGCTGTGAGCTCTTAAGAAAAGAAAAAAGGAATACCTTGTATCTGTTTTTACTGAGCATGGGGTGGCTAAGTCGGAACTGAGGGAATGGGGGCAGTCCACCTCTAGTCATGTGATGGATTTGGTGGGAAAACTAGTTCATGTACATTTTTCCTGAGGTGGATCGCCCCATTTCTAGGAGTTTTAAAGCTAGAGAAAAACCATCTGTGACTGACCTGTGCAAGTGCTAGCATGTCTTTGAATTGACCACCCCCTAAAGTTTTTTAATGAGTGTGTAGTGTTGTACCCCAGTTTGGATTTTCTCTCCAAAGTTGCAACCAAGTTCCACTTAGCACAGGACATAGTTTTGCCGGTGATTTTTCCTGGGGGTAGAGATGGTGAGGACAGATAAGATGCTTGTTTCTTATGAAGCTTGAGAATGCTCACTAATGTCCCAATTGGGGCTGCATGTTACAACAGAGTAAAGGCAGCCATTTAATAAGTAAAAAAAGGAAATAGTGATACTTACCAAAAATTTTCCTGCTCTTTCACATGCATTGTCTAAGGTGCAACAAGTTAAATCAGTTTTGACTTTGCTATGAGATCATTGAGATCAGGACTACATCTAATGATTTCTGTCTATGAAGTTTTGTTCTTTTTTGTTGTCTCATCTGAAAAATAAAGGTGGATCTTAGAGGTGGTGTTCTGGTAGTGGTTGCCACATCAAGTGACACAAAGTTAACTAGCACAGAACTAGCTTCTTCCAGTATGATTTAATTGGTTAACCAAGAACGCTATTTTGATGGACTCTTGTGAAATCAAATATGAATGTCTACAAGCTGTAGAGAGAAGCTAATTGTTGCTTCCTTGCTTTCGAATAGGACCTTTCTTTTCAGGGAAAGGTGGGCACTGATACACTTGGGTTCCTCTTCACACAACCCCTGGAGGCAGGAAATTGATTGTGCTTTCCATCTCGGGGTGGTGGTGGTGGAACCCACTCCCTAGTCTTTTTCCTGCCTTCCACTGTGAGAGGCAGTAGATTTAGAGTTCCTGAGAATTTCTTTTTATGAGTTCTTTGGTTTCATTTTCCCCCTTTCCTCCCACTTGTGTGCCTTTCCTTTCATTTAAAAAATCCTCAGTTTGTCCTTCTAGTCTCATCTTCCCTGAGGCTGCGTTCTCTTGTCCCCTGCTTCAGTTGTAGCAATCCCTTCACCTGGATCGGCAGCTGAGTCCTCTGACCTTGGGGCCTCCTTTGAGGGAAGGTTGGGGAATGATATCCCCACACAGTGGAGCAGAAGAACCCTGCAGTTCCTCTTGCCTAGCTGTCCTGCCATGGCACTGCTCCTGGAGAGAGCCAATGATCGCGTGGCTCCAAGAACAGAAAAGCTAGCTAGCTTTTTGGCACCAAAACTGCACCCCCTGCTGACCAGCTGAGGCATCCTGTATGAGCCCATCAGGCCCATTCAGTGCAGCCTTCAGGGCTGTGAAGGAAGTCCATAGCTCCCCTCCCTGTGGGAAGCCAGGAGAGCAGAGGGCTCTTTGTTGTCCCACCAGGCTTTCAGGCCCGGCTAGAACAATTTCTCTCCAGTCAGAGAAGAAAAAAAGAGCCTCTTTACCCTAGAGGAAAAGACAACGCAAGGCCTCTCATCCACCTCAACTCTCTCTCTGTCCATGCAATACTTCAGGATCTTTTGATCCAGGAAAAAGCCAGGGCTCTTCCTGGACCACCAAACAGCTTATAAAAGTCCTCTTCCCATTAGGATAAATTATTCAAATTCTCAGACTATAGATCTGAAGAAGGGATTCTCCTTTAGGGCCTGAGAATTCTGGTGCAGATTTAGACAAAGAGGAAGGCCAGCTGTCTGATGAGGAAGTCCCTCAACAGAGCAAGCCAATTCACTACTTTTTTCTCATGAGAATTTATCTTCTTTGCTACAGAGAGCTTTTAAAATCCTGCAGCTTTCTGTCCCCAAGGTAGAAAACACTAAGAAACAGCAGGGAGATGATTATGATAAAGGAGTCCTGAGACGTTCTCTAGGATTAGGATTCTGGGTTCAACCTTTCCTTTACCTTTCTTTTTGAAAACTGAGATTAAAAAGGAATAGACAGATCCTACCAATAACTGTTTACATGCTGGACAGGCTAAAAGAATGTATTCTTTTCCTCCTAAGGTAACCAGTTCTGGTGGTGGATCCTCCTGTGGCTAGCTTAGCATCAGGAGTGGCTCTTCCGTTTTAATCAAAACAATATCCTGAGAATCTTTCAGAAGTGCTTCAAGATTTTTATTTCAGAATCTCATGCCCAAGGAGAGGTGTCATACATTCCCACTCAGTTTCTTTTTCATCTGCTGCTACAGCATTTCTGGACTTCTCTGAGAGTCTCCCCTCTCACACATATTTTCTTGAAATATCTGTATCGCTCATTGTTTTTCTTTATGTAGTTGCTGTTTCTTTGTATATAGTTCAGACATTTGTATACAGTTTTTTCTTCTTTTATCTGGGCTCTTGTCACCTGTGATGCAGCCAACAATGTTCAACAGGTATAATTCCTGTAGGGGGGACCCTGGTGACTGTGACTGTAGCTTGCTGTGTCTTAGTGAGGTTTAAAATGTGGAGGCTTGTCTTTAATCGCCTGATGTTACCTAACTATGCTTCTGGGTTCAGAGCTTTGTTGTGGTGAAAAAGCCTTGTCAGCCTCTAGGACAATGGCTTGGGTCATCATGGCCACTGGAGACTACTGCAACCCATTGGAACACACTGTTGGGTTATAGCTAAAAGGAACCATCTCTGAAATCTTGAATTTGGCTAGAGAGAAGAACAAGAACAGCTTTAAGGCTTAAAGCCAACTTGAACTTCTCGGGTAATTATAGGGGATAGAGGATGGGCATTCTAAATAAATCATGTAGATAGATGAGTTTCTGTTACCTTGTTAATGTTTTCATTATTTTGGGAAGTCCTCACTATCAATTGCTTTTAAAATGCAAAGCATTTATTCCTTCTGTCAGTTTTAGCATAAGAGCCGCTAGATGGCAATATAACAGCTTTCTGTAAATGGAGGTTAGAACAACTTTTATTACAAGTAGGGCTTTGAAAGCATTGATTTTTCTGTCCATATAGTACTCCAGCAAAAAAAATATAGGAAGTAAGAATTTGGGGGGGTGCTTTTCATTCTATTTTTGTGTAGCTATTTAATATATTCTTTATTGCTCTATCATTCTGTGTATCAGCATCTTTATTCCTGAATCATCTTTATCTTTATTCCTGAACCATTGCTCCACTGCTCTGTAAGCTGACAGTAAAAATACTTACAAACATTTAGACTGGATTATTTGAAAGCAGATATGAATAAGTAGTCAAGTTTTATTTTGTTGCCACAAAATGTACCACTTCAGATATTAGAAACAGCAGCTAATTTTTGAATTCTCACTTCTGTACTAACTATGGGTTGTAAAACATGCAATGTCTTTCAGACTTAAGATGTTGAATATCAAATTGAAAAACTCTGGGTCAGAAGAACATGTTGGCAGACTGACATTGCTAACACGGCTTGTGCTCACTGTATATATATTTTAGTTGTGTGCATATTTTTTAAATTGTTTTTAATGGTTTTTATATTATGTTTCAAAAGGTTGTTTTAATGTTGATTGTTCATTGCCTTGGGGACCATAAGTGGGGGTGGAAAGGCAGCATAAAATGTTTATATAAATAAAGACTGCAGAAACTGGTGGTCTCATGGAACCAGGAGACGTTAGAGGATCCAGACGAAATAGAGACAATTGGAAAGGGTGGTCCAGGCCTGAGTAAGACCTGTGTAAGATCCCATGAGAAACAGAGAACACACACTACTTAGGATCGTTGTATCCCACCAAGAAAGCCCTTCCCTTTAAACTTTTTATCTTATAGGCTCCTCTAATATGCCCCCTCAAATCCATGTATCCTATGGTGTGCAAATAGTCACTTTACTGCATCATGCAGTTGCACTGTGTCATACAAAGGGGATGCCTGTTGTCTCAGATTAGTAGAAGGATCTACTCAGATTGGGATTAAAGGTTGGATCAGTTATCCTTTCTGAAAAGTGATGAGCCTTGTTCTGTTGGAGGAAGCCTCTATTGTTTAGTGGAAAGGAGTCATTGGATCCAAACAGACACTCTAACAATATAACTTCCTACTTAATGGAAGCTTTTTAAACTCATGCTTTCCTTGACTGCTATCCATGGTAGCATCATCCTGAGCAGGTTTGTGTCATTGCCAGTTACTGAGAGTGATTTTACCGAGCAAGTATTATAGTGATTTTTAAATACATAAGCTTTCTGAGGGTATCTGATATACCAAACTCTCCCTTATAGTTTAGGATTTTGTTATCAAGTGGGGTCATTGATGCCAAGTGGTTCATCATTTGCATCAGATCCTGGATATCATTTATGATCAAATCAAGGTCTGCTTTTCTTGCTGTTCCCATAATATGTGATAATGGGTACAGGTGCTAAATTAATGTTAAATTTATACATAATCTCTTGTTAACACATATGTTTACCTGATGCATCTAAAACTATATCTGTGAAAACAATAGAGGTTGTTTTAGGATGCAATGATACAAATCTAACCAGATATTATTTCCCATTGATTTTCCTTAAGATCTCATTGTGCCATCTCCTGTCACTTTCTGGACTGGGACATCATGACAGTGATATTAACAACTTCATTGCAACTCTTGGGTTGACATCTGCAGATTACTATGTGAAACTTGTTGAAAATGTAAGTAATTCATACAATTGGCCACAGCTTGTAAGAATGATGGGTTGTCTCAAGGATCCAAAATGTTACTTGCTGTGGTGGCCACGAACATTTTGTTAGCAACTTTTCTGTCATCTCTGACTTCATGCTGTGACTTCAGAGGCACTCTAGCTATCTGCGTCTCTTGCAATAGTAATCTGGGTGAGAGTTCAGGTGAATTTCTAACTTCGTGCTGCACTTGAGAGCTGAATGAACTTAGTTGTATCCCATTCTTCTGCAGAGTTTCCTGCCTCTCTAGGGTCAGCTTTCTAGAAGGACTGTCAACATTCCAAACAAACAAGGGCCTACCTGCTTGCTGTATAAAATGTAGTTCAGCTTTCAGGAGGTATCCTGCTCACTGGGCAAGAGGCAAGCCCCTGTGGCAGCAAGGTCTCACATTAATGGTTCTAGATCATTGTCCAAAGTTGAGGGTCAGGTGACACATCACAGGGAGAAAGTTCTGAGGCAGTCCAAGGTTTAGGCAACAAAGTTCCAAGAGTTATCAAAAAGCTAATCAGCCAACTGGTGGAATAGTCAGCAAGACTGCAGACAAACTGATCCCACAGTGGCCAATGATTAAATTGTACCTCTAAAATATAATGCTTTTGTTGATTTAATTTGAATGAGTTGAGTTTTCAGAAACTTTTAAACATATTTTTTATTTTACTTAATCTGGAGAGAATGAGTTGGTTGCAATTAATAGTGAGTGAATTGAGTTCGTCCCCTAGGACTCCTAAAAAAGTGTTTCAGAATCAGGTGGGATGAGGCACTGATCAGGAAGGGGGAATCACCAGAAAATACACCACTGTATTCTTTTTCTGCTTGCAGAAGTGCTTATGTAAGTATGGCTGAACAGTCCCACTGTGACCTGCAAGTCCTCTGAGGTGTATGGGAATCCACATGCCACCAAACTGGCTCCCCCAACACTTGGAGGGGGTTTTCTGTTCCTCTCTCAGCGCAACTACTTCCACCATCTGGTATTTGTAGGAATGGCTCCTTGAGAGGACCAGGACTCCCAGCTTCCCTGCTGTTCTAAGGGCTCACCTTGTGCTGGTATCTCCTGCTACTCAACATCTGGTTACTACAAGGACAGTTTACTGCCTTGTGTGCCACTGGGAGTGCAGCCACTTACCAACTGACTGCCCCTCCCCTTCTTCCTGATGCCCCTTTTAAAATATCATGCCTGGAATAATGTAAGTTTAATGTGGCACCGAGAACCACTATCAGCTTCAAAAGTTATTAAAAAGCAGCAGATTGAGCAAGGGATCTAAAAGAAAATGTAGTTCCTCTGTCCTTCCCTCTTTACATGCCCTAGCAGACATCACCCTAAGGCAGGCTCTTTACCTTAAAGGGTTACAGTTATTTTAAACAGGGTTGCCAGCCCCTGGGTGGGAGCGGGGGATCCCCCAATTTTGCAGGCTCCTGTCCGTCCCCAATATGATGATGGCGGCAACGCTCTGGTATTTTGTGCAAAACTCTGTGGTAACCATAGAGTTTTAACCAAAATACCAGAGCGTCACTGTGTGATGTCACTGGTGTGATGATGTCACTTCCATGTGACACTGTCACGTCGGGGATGTCGCATGTGGTGACATTGCCCCCCCCACTTCTGGAGAGAGCTCTCCCACACCTTGCCAGTGAGGAGGTAAGACCTGGCAACCCTAGTTCTAAAGGGTTCCCATTACCTTGAAGCCTGTGCTCAGGTCTGCAGTCCTGCACATGGTAATGGCTGCCTCCAGCAGAGAGTTCTGTCTGCTTTGACGGAACCAGCTCCCGCCTCCTGTCTGTGGTTTTCAAGGTCGTCTCCCATCCTAGTACTTGCCGGAGTCAACCCTGCTTAACTTCCGAGATCTGATGAGATTGGGCTTGCTTGGGCTATCCAGGTCAGGGCAGGAAAAGACTTCATTAGGGTTTTCGACCTCCAAAACTCTGTTCCCTGCTAGATGTCATCTGTTTAGCTGGAGGTTGTGTGGGGGTGTATGTGTGCATGTGTGTGACTTGATCATTTCATTGTATCCAGACCTACCATTTGCATTTCTAAAGCCTTGGTGGGTGAGGCTGGGGAACAATTGACTCCCCCCTCCCCATCACCTGTACTGTGCCAAGAGGAAGAAAAACTTTTTAAAACTCAAAGTGAAGGTTTTGCTCAGTTCGAACCTCCAAAGAAAAATACATTTCTCCACAGTAAGCACAAGGAGGTATAATTTCTACTTATTTTCCCCTTCTTATTACATATTTGCATCCCAAATTGTTCCTGAAGGTGTGGCTTTAGGCATGAGGCTGCTGTGTGAAGGGGAAGGTAGCAAAGATCCTTTCCCATGAACTCACTTCACTTGTGGTTGATCAGGGCCAACCCATTATTTTTGGTTCAAGGTTTATTGTCAAAACTGTATACTTCATAAATTCTATACATAGATTATCTAATCCACTTGGAAATGAAAGTAAAAAAGTTAAATATTAGTATCCTAGTTTCTCTTCAATACCTATATTTTTTACTATGTCACTGACTTCATTTAACAGGTCATCTCATCACTAGTGACAGAACTCAGCAGAAACTGGTTTAATAGATTTAATAGTCAACAAAGGTAGGTATTGTTTTTTTCCTGAAAGGAAGTGCCCTTAAATATAATATGACTTTCCCACTTTTAAGAAAAACTATATACAAAAATAGATGACTCTGAATTTAACATGGCCCTCTTTTTTAAAAGAAGTAGCCCTGTGACCCACTTAACAGGAGAAGGCTTACCTTCTTCTTTCTGGGGATTTTCTGGCTAGGGTTGCCAGGTGTGATCGTTGCACCGGTGGGAGGATTTGTGGGGGTAGTCCAGGAGTGGGTGGCGATGTCTCCAATGCAGTGATGTCACATGAAAGTGACATAATTGCGTGGTGACACTCTGCTTTTTGGGCAAACTCTAGGGTTAAAATTTGGCTCAAACAATGGAGTTTTGCCCAAACTGATTGGTTGTAGGGCTGGAAACAACTGACTTGACCAGGATTTAGGTGGGACCAGAATGCCTTGCTAGAGAGGTGCAGGTGTGTGGCCTACCAGTCACCTGGGTTGCACCCACCTCTTTAAAAGCCAAAAAAGGTTGCCTAGTTTTCAAGTTAATGCAGTATACTGACCATAATTTTAGTAGATCTTAGTATGGATACCTGAGTGACTGAAGTTCTATTTATCATGCGAAAAAAAATAAGCGGTTTCAATATATGCATATTGAAAAATGTGGTTTTGGTAATAAGAGGAGTACTGTAAGGAGGATTACAGATGCAATATAAAAAGAGAGTTTACAATGAATTCTTAAGTAGGCTTCCACCCAGCTTTGCAACTGAAATGACAGACATGTATATCAGTGAACTGGACAGTGGCTCTACTATAGGTTTTCCCTTTCCTTCCTCCATGTGGACTGTTTGCTTTGATTTCTTTTAAGTGTTCTTTGAAAATCCATGTTATGAAACCATTCCAGGAACTGCAAGATTTTTTGTGGAAGATTTCATGGTGATATCACTAAGGTCAATTAGTGTCATGCATAGCTGGCGGCATCTGCTTGAAAGTTGCAGTTTGCAGGGTTGCAGATTTTTCTTTCCCTTTCCCACATCTCGGCCGTTCACATGAAAGTGACATAATTGCGTGGTGACACTCTGCTTTTTGGGCAAACTCTAGGGTTAAAATTTGGCTCAAACAATGGAGTTTTGCCCAAACTGATTGGTTGTAGGGCTGGAAACAACTGACTTGACCAGGATATAGGTGGGACCAGAATGCCTTGCTAGAGAGGTGCAGGTGTGTGGCCTACCAGTCACCTGGGTTGCACCCACCTCTTTAAAAGCAAAAAAAGGTTGCCTAGTTTTCAAGTTAATGCAGTATACTGACCATAATTTTAGTAGATCTTAGTATGGATACCTGAGTGACTGAAGTTCTATTTATCATGCGAAAAAAAATAAGCGGTTTCAATATATGCATATTGAAAAATGTGGTTTTGGTAATAAGAGGACTACTGTAAGGAGGATTACAGGTGCAATATAAAAAGAGAGTTTACAATGAATTCTTAAGTAGGCTTCCACCCAGCTTTGCTGCTGAAATGACAGACATGTATATCAGTGAACTGTACAGTGGCTCTACTATAGGTTTTCCCTTTCCTTCCTCCATGTGGACTGTTTGCTTTGATTTCTTTTAAGTGTTCTTTGAAAATCCATGTTATGAAACCATTCCAGGAACAGCAAGATTTCTTGTGGAAGATTTCATGGTGATATCACTAGGGACAATTAGTGTCATGCATAGCTGGCGGCGTCTGCTTGAAAGTTGCAGTTTGCAGGGTTGCAGATTTTTCTTTCCCTTTCCCACATCTCGGCCGTGAAAAGGAATAGATGAAGTCAGGGCAAGTGGGCTAGGGAAAGTGCCTTCTCTTTCCATTACACTCTTGAAATCGTGGTCAATGACAAAGTCTGTTAGAATTCTGCCATGTATTTTCTGCAGCCTCTTGCATGGTTAATACATCTATAATGTTCTCTTGAGCACCCAGAATATATTAAGCAAACCATTCCTTTTTGTTATAGTAAGTATATTGTTGGATCCCCAAGCATCGAGAATAAATCCACGTTTTAAGCTCTATTTTTAAATGTTTTCTCAAATCCATATATTGTAAAGATATTGTTTGATATTTGCCTGTGCTTAAGGAACAGACTGATTTTAGAAAAATAAAAATATTGCCCCTTCACCTTACGTAACCTTTATTTCTCCAGTATTTCTTTGCGAGTAAGATCCATGTCCCTTGTCTGTGTGCCGCTTATTAATTTACCTGAAATAACACCACTGCTGGAAGCCCTTCTTAACTATCATGGGGATGGATCAGAAGAAGTTCTCCATTGTGAGTTTTTAGAAGTTATGAATGAAGCCATTTTACAGTAAGTAGCCCAGAATATACTAATTTTCCCTTAACCAAGATTATATTTAATTTAGCTGTTATTATTTACTTCATTTCTAGTCTGCCTAAGACATTGAGACTCAAGGTCTCAACATGGCCCTATCAGTGAATACTTAATTCCAGGGACTGGGACCATGAAAAGAGAAGACAGATCTTTTTACAAACTAGAGAAAAAACCCAAGTTTATAGAAATATCTGAAAATAAAAACAAAACAATATTGGGGTGGTTAAAATGATAGAAGTGTCTGTAGCTTTAAGAAATGAATGCCTTCAGTGACCATTGGTGGGCAACCACAACTGTATTGTCAGCCATCCAGCCTTGGATTCTGTCAGGAAAAGGCAGGGGCAGGAGTCAGGGCCCTCTCCAGGACTGTTTTAGTCTTTGAGGGAGGACTTATCAGGCCAAGCCTGGCAGCAGCCACTGGGCAGTTTACTACTACCTGACTTGTAGGACTTACCCAGCACTTGCATGACTCACTGGGGCTAGAACTGGTTGCTTTCTACAGACAAGGAACTTAACGGGAGGAAGCATCCCATTCCCCCTGCCTTTGTTTCTCTCCTACACCTCTGTTCTGTCACGTCCCACCTATCCTGCTCACTGAGTTGTTCTCATGGCTCAGGCTGTTGTGGTTGCGTAACAGCCACCGAGGGCATTTGTTTCTTAAAGTTACAGGTTCTCCTTGTATTGTTTTGGGGGTTTTAACACCCCCCCCCCAGTTTTATTTTTTAGATTTTAAGCTTTTCTGAAATCTGGGTAATTTTTCAGGCTTGTGGAAAGATGTCCATTCATAGCTCCAGATTTGGCTGGGTTGAGAATTGATTTTATAATTGTGATGAAAGAAGAAAACCTCCTTTCCCCCTCTTTCTTAAATACAGAAAAAAAATCTCCTTGTCTGAATCTGCTGTGGTGCAGCTGTGGCTTCGTCATCTTCCTAGTCTGGAGAAAGCTTTGTTACAGAATTTTGAAAGTTTAATTTTTGATCAACCAAGTTCAGTGGAAGAAATGATACATCTGATAAAAAGTTCTCTATTGGTGAGCATGGTAGATGAGCCAGTATGACTTTGCCATCTTGGTTACACTGAAAGCCTCTTAAGCATTTCTCAAATACACACTATATGAATTTAATATTAATTTAAGCTAGTGGAGAACAAATAGCATTAATAGTGGCTTTAATTTGGGTTTGCACACAGTGGTAATATGCCATTGTGATTTTTTTGTGATGAAGAGCACCTTCCCTATTCTGACATTTATCTAACATGATACATTAAGCACTGTACAGAATGTAAAAAGTGAGCCTCCAAGCTATTTTCCATCCTACTGGGCTGAAACGTTTTTATGCCAAGAGTTCAGTGCCTAGGAATAAGAGTGCCCAGCTAAAAATAATTAAAAGGACAAGGTAGTTTGGAAATTAGAGTTTGCTGTTTCTCAAGATTTGCATGCTCTCCTGCCCCCCTCCACCAAGAAACAAACAAAAAATTGAGGGGAAATAACCAGCATCTGTAATTTTCTTTCCTATTGAGATGCTCTTTTCTAACCACCATCTTTTCTGCCCTTTCCATCTCACAGTAGGGAGAACAACTTTACTTCTATAAACGTTGAAGGGATTTCCCTATTTCCATATGCTTTTGTACCAGGTTTTTCACAGGTACATTTACTGTGCAATCTGCAAAGTTACAAAACTGCTGAGTAAGAGAAGAGAGGTTTTGAATAGCTTGGATTGCATCATGTATCTGAAAAAACATGGCACTATCCAAATCAACAAAAATTCTACAGTTTAGCCCTTAATTTCAATTAAATCAGTGCAATATATAAAAGCAACTGGGAAAGTAATTGATTATTGTAGTCATGTTATCTTGAATATACCTTCATTAGCACTTTGACTGATCTAACTTGATGCTGTTCTTCAAGCTTTTTAGTATGCAGTGCTGAGCAATATACAAAGCAGCAGCTTTATAACTTAAGTCCTGGTGGTGGAAGACTGCTGTGCTTTATTATGGAAGAAATATGATATCCGACACTGTTATATTAGGGCTCCAAATGTAATTAAAGTGTGATGGTCTGGTAACTTCTAGTTTATGTGGTGTGCTGTTACTTATGTTTCCATCCCTTGGGAAAAAATGAAATTGGTAATGGAAATTCTATAGTAACTAGGAAGTATAAAAACAAAAGATAAGTGTTATACAGGTTCCACGTAGTGAAATGACCTCCATAAATATTATTTTGCCTTTCAAGGGTTGGTAACATTAGTCCTTTTTCCAGATGGTTAAAAGTGTGTTCTTAAAATATAGTGGTATATATTCACGTCACTGAAATAATTGTGCAAATACATTGTATGAACTGCTTGGGGCAATGGGGAAGGAGAGAGGACTGCTGTTCCGGAGGTTGTCATCAAGCAGTTCCCAGGTTGTGTAAATGATACAGACACAGATTCGCAGTGATGCTTAGCCACAAGTATCACCACAACCATGACATCATGAGTACAAAAGCATTCTGTTAAATTCATTTGTCCACTATGACTGATTTTTTTCAGGAATGATTATGGGTGATTCTTGTGCAGTTCATAGCAGTGTGGAAACTCTTTGCCTAATAGTATGTGAAACTGAAGGCCCAGGCCCACACACGGAGATTATATCTGCTGGGAGGGGATTTCAGTTCACTCTCTTAGTAGTTCTCAGCTAAGAAAAAGCACTTGGAATGCATTCTGGTCTCAGCTTTGGATTTGAGGGTTTTTGTTTGTTTGTTTGCCAGGACCTCTGCATTTTTACTTACTAGGACTTCTGATATTCACCCTAGCTGTTCTGTCTTCTCTGTAGCTGCTTGAAAAATTGGGTTCAAGAATCAATTATTATGGAGGGGAAACAGTGGTGTGCCTTCTTATAAACAAACCTATCCCATGTGGAAGATGTCCTAAAGCTTAGGAGGCAGTAGTGCAGCTGCAAAGAGGGGTACAGAAATGGAGAAAATTGTATGCCAGGTTGGTGATGGCACAAGTTGTAAAGAGAAGCGGGTAAGATCTCTCCATGTATCTGCCAGTCCTGGAGCCCTTAATTTAAACCACTGCTGTTGACAGCTTGCCAAGAGGAGAGCAGGATTAGAATCGGTAGAAACAAGCCCCACACCCTCTCTGCAATAGCAGTGACTTCATTAAAAGTAGGAAGAGATCTTCTCTGTGACTCACAGCTACCGTGGTTGTTTCCACATGGTCTTATAGCTGCGGCTTGGCTTCCAAACTACAGCTTTTTATTTCCAGGCTTATGGTGTTAGATGCTTGCTGTTGGTCTTCAGCCTTTTCAGGGGGGGTTTCTGTTTTTTCCAGACTACCTTTGCGCCAATGGTTTCCGGAGAAATATTCCTGAAGTATATTTGTATAATATCTGCTGCACTTTTAAAGGTGCCACCATCTTCCCCGCCCATCCCTTCATTGTCAGTTTTCTTTTTTTCTGGACTTTCCACTATTTTCTCTGCCATTTTCCCTCAGCAGTGGCCATCCATGATTTTTTAAAGATGGTCACTAATGTCAATATATTGCTATATCTGTATACACGTGGTTGCATGATTCCTACATGTAGCTTGAATTCTGGCTGTGTCTTTGTTTTCTTCTTATTACTGCAACTGTTTCCCCTGCTGGTCCACACAGACACACACTCACTCTGTGTGCCTTTTTATATATCTGCCTTGTTTTTATATATCATCATCATCTATATATCTAATACTGAACTGGCCCCCTGTATAGGATCCGGCCCCCACGCCTCACTAGGAATAAGGGAAGGACTCCTATATTAACAAACAATAACCACCATGCCCAGCTCCAACACCTCCTTAGAGATGCACTCTTAAGATTTAATGGTAGCATAGCCAGCTAGACACGAGGATTTAAGGCTTGGAGATCAGTTACCCATCAAACAGACAGTATTTAAACAAGAAATAGTTTTATTTAGCACAGAACTAACACAGACAACAGGAAGTACTGAACACAAGAAAACACCTATGGCCCTCTGTGGCCCTTACTAAACATTAAAGATCTACATAATTACCAGGATGATCCCTAGGCAAGGATGTCCAAGTATACAGTCCATTGGAATAGTCCAAGTATCTTTAGAAACAACAGCTCCATTATGCAAGCACCTCACCATGTGCTTCACATGGAGTCCTTTGTCTGCCCAAGCCTCATGGCAGAGACAAAGCAGCTCCAGAACAAGTCCACAGACAGCAGATAACAGGAACAGAACAGCAAGCAGAAAATCTGAGCTTGTGTCTTTGGGTTCAGACTAATAAGGGCCAATTTCAGGATTCAAATGACCCGGGCCAGGAGCCAATGAACACGATCTGAAATTGTCCAAGTGTCTTGAGTGGTCAGTAGTATTGAAGCCACACCTGCAGAATGTGATCCCAATGGGGGGAACGGTGGGGGGGGGGGAAGACAGCCCGGTGAGGCCCGGCGGATGCTAGCCGCGCAGGCCACGCTGCGACAGGGGAAAGAGAGAGAGAGAGACAGACTGGGGGGGGAAGAGAGAGAAGGCGGGGGAGAGAGAGACTGGGGGGAAGAGAGAGAAGGGGGGAGAGAGACACACACAGAGAGAGAGAGAGAGACTGGGGGGGAAGAGAGAGACTGCCCCCCCGTGAGTATCGCAGGTCCCCCCTTGTAATATTATAGTAGTGAAGTCAACCATATCTGAAGATACTTAAATCTGGTAGCTGGAGCTAAGAACGGGCAAGACAGATCTTTTTGCAAACCTCAGTTCACAGAAAAATCTGAAAGCCAAAAAAAAGTACAATAGGATGTTTAAAAAATGATAAAAGAGCACCTGTAGCTTTAACAGATTCCCTCAGTGGCTGTTGCTAGGCAACCACAGCATTCTAAGGCTTGGTTTCTCTCCATAAAAGGCAGGGGGAGGGTCCTTTCCAGCGCAATTTTGGCCTTTGAGGGAAGACTTTGTAGAAAAGTTTGTAGAAAGATCGGCCTTGCTCATTCTCCGCTCCAATCCTTGGATTTAAGTATCCTCAGATTTGGCCATCGTCACTATTAGAATATGTGAGGACTTATTGGAGCCAAGGTTGACAGCAGCCACGAGTTGACTTGATACCACCTGACTTACATGACTCACCTAAGCCTGTCTGCTTGCTACTGTTCAACGGCAGCTACCTGATAAAAGCCAATGTGATGTAGCAGTTACAGCTTCAGAGAAGAGTGGAAGACACAGATTCGAATCCCCATTTTGCTGTGGAAGTTCATTGAGTGATTTGGGGCCAGTCATATACTTTCAGCCTAAACTACCTCACAGGGTTGTTGTGAGGAGGAAAAAAGGAGGAGAGGAAAGTAATGTAAGCTGCTTTGCTCCCTACTGTGGAGAAAGGTGGGGTAAAGTAAATAAAGAATACATATAGGTGAAGTTGGGAGATAGATTAGGTTAGTGAATGGCTGAGAAGGCGAGTGAGACAGGGAAAGGGGAGAAGATATACAGCTTGAAAGAGGAAATAGTACAGGGGATGCAGGGGAAAGTGAGGTCCCCTCACAGAAGTCCTTGAGGGTTCCCTACCATCCAAGTGGACCTGCCCAGTGGCTGGCACCATACAACTGGACCATAGTTTTCCTAGGTAGAGGCTGTTGGGGGGAAGATGGAAACCTGAAGACAAAGGGACAGATAAATGTAGGTTGGCTGCTGAATGGGGAGGGGAGAAAGAAGCAAGAAAAGGGGAGAGGTTATGGGAAAGGAAAGAGGAAATAGTGGGGAAGGGGGAAGTGAGATGCCTCCCATAAGTCCTTGTGAGGCTGGGTGGGTTGGAAAAGATTTTTTTGGCTTTTCTTTACAACTTTCTAAAATTTAGATGTATGCAGAACTCATACATGGTCCACTGTGGCAAGCAGCAGCCCCTTTCCCAGAGTCATGAAAGTGCCAACCCAAAGATAATCCAGCTTCTCTGTGGAGTGTGTGTAATGTTAAGGCACAAAACACAAATTATAAAAAGTGTGTGGGGGGTGCTATTTGAAGGGACTGGTGAGCACACTTCTGCTGCAAGCATGGCAGCTACCAAGGGCAGCTGGATCTGCATTTTCATGCAGAAACACCCCACATCTGCCAAGGTGACGCACTCAGCCGTTGTTTTCCCTCCTTTCTGCCTGTGGTGTTCCTAAACTGGCGGAGAGTTCAGTATGCATCCTTCCTGGACATGGGTCTTCCCCTGTGTCTTTCCCATTAACTCTGCAAAAGGTAAAAAGCAAATAAGATGGGGCAGGAATCAGAGAGAAAAATAAACGGTCAGATTTTGACGGAGAGAGTAGTTTAAAACAGTTGGAAACCAGTTTGCAGATTTGGTCAATTTTTCATACAGTTGCTTTTGATCTAGATTCAACTGCACTGTATGTTTGGTATCTCAAAACACACATCGCAACATGGGCAAAAGTACAGAAGAGGGCAATGAATTATGATTAAAGGGGCGGAGAATCTTTCTTATGAAAAAAAGGCTGAGGAGTCTGGGACTTTTCTATTTAGGAAAAAGATGATTAAGGGGGAGACATGATAGAGGTTTATAGAATTTCGCATGCCGTGGAGAAAATTGATAGAGAGAGCTTTTTCTCCTTTTCCCATAGTACTCGAAACTCAGGGGCACTCAGTGAAGTTGATGGGCAATAGGTTCAGGACAGGCAAAATGATATACTACTTTATTCAACAAATACTTAAACTATGGGATTTTCTAGCGGTGAAGGTAGTGATGGCCATGAATGTAGATGGCTTTGAGGAGGGGGTTAGATTTACATGGAGGATAGGATATTGACCAAGATTACTAAAGGAAACCTCTACATCCAGAGTCAGTTAATCTCCCAGTACCAGTGCTAGAAGGCAGCATCAACGGAAATGTTAGCCAGTCAGTGCCCTATTTGTTGCCCCTCTAGGGCAATTGATTGGCTACTGTGTGAAACAGGATGCTGGACTAGATGGGCCACGGGTCTGAGCAGGCTGTACTTATATTCATATGTATTGCTTTAAGAATTTTCTTTCTTCTGTTAAGAGTCCTTTAAACATGTGATGTCTTTTTAAACCTAAATTAGATATTCAGCATAACAACCCTACTAGATGACTTTGGGACTGAATTATAGTAAGTCCTTTTATACAATATTATGTAATGGAAAATATGAACATAATTCTTACAGTCTGAAACTAACTTTGAGAATCAACCTGCTGTCTTATTAAGCAAAGCTATTAATAAGATAAAGAACTGCTAGAATCAGGTTCCAGAGTTAAATTTTCCAGAGCCAGCAAACTATAAAGTTGAATAGGATCATGATCCATAAAATTTAGTTGTGATGTTCGTTTATTTGGGGAGGGTTCGCAGTTTAGTGATAGATAATCTATTTGGCATGTTGAAAATCTCAGGTTAAATCCCTGGCGTCTCCAGTGAAAAGTATCGGAGAGTAGAAGATGTGAAAGATCTTTACCTGAGACCCTGTAGAACCACTGCCAGTATGAGTAGACAGTACTGACCGTGATAGATCAGTAGTCTGATTCAGTATAAGGCAGGTTCATGTACCCTGCCCTTTGTTTGGGCAGCTTCAGGTGGCACTTTCATCTCACAGTATCCTTAAGGAACGGGGACTTACTTAAGACTATCTAGTGTGTCTGGCGGCTGAGCAGGGGTTAAGCCCGACTGTCTTCTGCACCTCACTGATTTATTGTTGGTTTTGTTGAATTATTTTTTGTTAAGAATATTAAGTTTTATAAAGGCCCAAATACAGAGTCATGATCATTGTCAGTGTTAGGGAAGTGTTAGAGATTGTTTCATAAGTAAAATTCCATGGTATGTTTATTGACTTTTGTTTCCTGAAAATAAAACCACCGTACTCTGTACAAATTATGTGAAACCTAGAAATCTGAATGGCTGCTACTGATTTTGAGGTCATGCTCTTTTCACGAATGATTCAAGAGAGCCGGTTGTGAGGTCTCATGAACACTAGGTGGCATACGTTTAATATGACAACTTGAATGCAACCTTATGGTGGAACATTGAGAACTTAAAGTAGAACATGAAAATGAGGTGCTATGTAATTCTTTCAAATAAGAAAATGGCACACAAGTAAAATAAGAAGATGTTAGAGTAATGGCTGTCCTCTAATTTTACCCTATTGTATTCTGAAAATTTTATAAAATGCATCCAGCAACCTCTAACTCTATGCATCTTAAAACTTCATTTGTTGCAGAGCTGGTGTAGATCCATGGATTTTGCTTGGTTCTGTGTTTTGAGAATTTAAGATGGAGTCTTCTCTAATACTGATGTTTAATTGAACAGCTTCTTCTTGCTCATAGCCTTTGTTGCCAGCCATCCCATCTCTTAGCTATCTGAAACAAGAGTTTCCATTCTGAAAACACGGTTTAAAAAGTTCAGATTTTGTATTGGTGAATTATTTCAACAAGAAAGTGCCCTTAACAGAATGCAGATAAATTTGTGTATATGTTATAGTAAATGTTACTATCTCAGTGTGTACTGAAATTTACCAGCAATTTGTAACATTTTTAAATGTCTGGTAGTAATCTTGAGAATCATTGCGCCAGTACAGGGTGATATTTACTAAATCACAGTGATAATGGTAAACATCTAACACAAGTGTTATGACACCATTATTTAAGGCATTTCCATTACCACCCAAGAGTCTTGTTGGACAGATATCATGTACCACTTTAGGTTCCTATAATGGATATAGATGGTAGACTAAGACTGCTTGATAAAACTAATGACATTTTGAGAAGAATTTAATGCATGTTTGAGGCCTGGTTAAATGGTAATTTTTCCAGTATGATGATCTTTATTACGATGATGCTTTTACTCTTTTGCCTACATCAAGGACCTGAGGGGTTCCTTGGACTGTTATCAACAACTCTTCAATAAGATAAATAATGAAGGACA